TCAGTGGACCATCATTGCTTTGTGTTGGAAATTTATCAAAAATATATTTGCTACCATAGTATAAAACTTTATCTTTACAGGACTCTTAAAACAAAAAGACGAATGACCAAGATAAAGTACATAAAACTTAGAAAGAGCACAAGAAAATCCTAACAATATATAGGGCATATAAAGAAAAAAGCTAATACAAATATAAGAAATCTTTAAATATTTAAGGAACAATAATACCCATGGAGGTATACAGAAGTGATGTTGGTTAAAGTAGTTCCAACTTCTAAAATTGTTCAAAGGTGTTCCCCTAAAAGTTGGTAATTTTTCAAAAATAATTTTTGCAGATTAAAATATTACAAATCTGGGTGAAAGTTGGTAAAGGGGCATGCTTTTGTTAGTTTATAAATACCTAACTCAGGTCATATGAGCCTATTCACTAATGGATTTCCAAAACTTTGTTAGTTGCCAATAATATGTAGAGGGAAGAGTTAAGCATTCTTTAACAATATGAAGCAATGGACTTGTTAAATTAGAGTATGTGAATTTTTTTTATTGATGTCTGACTGTTCAGTCCTATGCTTTAAGTGTTAGATGAACATATTTTATGAACCAGAACAATATGTCTTTTTCCAGTTTTATCTTCACTGAAATCACTGCATTTGCCGGTACAAATGTCCCCCATCTGATTTGGTCTTCAGGCTGTGAAATGCTTCACTTGTGTAATTTAAACACTAATCGAAACGGTCTGAGAGGTCAGAAAGTCCTGACATTTGAGGTAGTTTTGGCAGCACTTTTTGTAGTGATTCTGTAACTATGTGATCCTTTTTCATCAAAAATGTTTGAACCACACTTTTTCCCAAAGCTCTGAAGAAAAAAAAAAGTAGGTGATTTTTATTTGTTAAGTTACCTCCAATTTAAGGGGATATATTGAGACAAAGTGAAATGCAGTTCAAAAGGATTCAGCTGTTAAATTGTGCATACAGTTTATGCAGTTGTCTTAGCATCTTTATGTGTCTTTGTATGAAATCAGACTAAGACTCACAGGCTAGAGCTGATTCCTATTATGAGAGTGGCCAAGACTAAAATTAACAACCAACCTTTAAGCCACTGTTCTGATTTCCCTTGGTAGTTCTTTTTTCCAATTTTATTTTGAAGGGAAACATAATTGGTGGTAAACATCCTTAATACATAACTGTATTATGAAATGTAAAACATTTTCTGTTTTCAGCCATATATATACATGGTCATGCTATTGTCAATATCAAAAAATACAAAAATCTAGTTGATTATGAAAAATTAAGGATACATATGCCAAGGGCATGTGCTGGGGTCCCTTTCACAAAGCAGGTTTAAGAAACTCAGACTCAAATCCCCAACTCTGAATTGATCTAGCCTGAGGTTGGAAACTCATAGGTTTTAGGTTTATAAAAACTGCTGTGAGTTAGTTTAATAAACGCTGAGTACTCCCTGACCTATAGCTCCAGCTGCAGTGTACTACAACATTTACACTGTTGTCCCTGCACAGCTTGAGTTTTATCCCTCTTGGAATAAAACATTTTCTTACACCTTTTTGCACTTCGACCTTTCTTATTTTCGCAACTACACTGGTAGTCCCACACGCACTCGCCACCATCACTACGGATTGTTGACAAAATTGTGTGCCAGTCACATGATCTCAGTCACGTGATTTTGTTGTGGTTAATATACACAGAGGCTATATTTACTAACAAAAGTGAGCATCAACAAAACTTAAAAGACAAAAACAGATGCCTTGCAAGCAGAACAGTGTAATAATAAAAAAAAATAGTATGCCACCAGATTAACTTAATGGTGTATAACTTTAAAACAAATGTCAAATAACAACACTATGTACCTTTAAAACGCAGCTTGACGAATAGCTAAACATAAAACATTTGTATTTAAATTTAAAAAAGTATGTCCTGTTGGGAGCTGGAGATATTCCACCTTTCTCCAGCAGAGTCCGCCGTGGATCCTCTGAGGGAGCCTCCTGCACAGCTGCAGCTCGTCAAGATCATCAGAGGATCCACTACTTAAGCTGTCTTCAGACCTTGCCTCAACGCCGCAGTGTTGTTCCAGTTGGTCAGCGCTTAAGCCTAGATCCTCAGAGTAATTCGATGACTTTGAATCCAGCTTGGATTCTAATCCTTGTTTCTGTTTTCCAGGAAACCTGTGCCTCCTCTGTGTAAGCTCAGGAAGAGCAAACCTGCCGAGCCAACCCTCAGAGCCAAACCTGAAGAATCACAGTGAACCTCCAAGCAGCTCTGGACTAGAGCTGGGAAACCCAAAGCCAAGGTCTGTTCAAATAAGACGTGAGACGCTGAAGCAGCAAACGGACTCTGCTGATGAACTCATCTCCAGAACCAACAGAGACTCTCCCAAAGCTAACCTCAAGAACCCTCAAGGTACAATCAGTAAACTTCAGGAAATCAAACCTCTGTTGGCAACGCTAACTGAACTGTCTCTCACGCAGACTCCGGTGAACCAGAATCCAGGCCCCGAACCTGAACCAGTATATACTGTGTGCTTGTGCATAAATAAACTGTTAAACTTTCATCCTTGTGTCCGTCAGTGGTGTTCTGCATTCTTGGGTCGCTTTTAGTGAACCCATCATGACATATCCAAAACATATTCATAATCTCACACTCCTGCCTTTTTTGTGTGAGGGCTTCAAAGCATTACCTGCAGTATAGACAAGAAAAGAACAGTGTACACGACATCTCTATAAATAGCAATAAAAAAAAATTGCTCGGCAACGCAGAGACACCCAACCATGCACACACACCTAAGGACAATTTAGAGAAGCTAGTCATAATTTTGGATTGTGGGAGGAAGCCAGGGTATCCGGAGAGAACCCACACATACACAGAGAGAACATGCAAACTCCATGCAGAAAGACCTTGGGGCAGGAATCGAACCAGGAACCTTCTTGCTGAAAGGCAACAGTGCTAACCTCTGTACCAATGTGCAGATCCAATCAGGGTCAATTTAGAATAAAGTTTAAACTAGAGACAAATAAAAAAGTATATTCATAAACATAAAGATAGACTAACTTCTAGTGCGACTTCTAGCACTGACTGTAAAAATGGTGACACCCTTCGATTTCCTCTAAATTAATTTTCCTTCTTGTACCAGGTCATTGTTTATGCACCATGTGTATACTTGCTTCACTACAGCACAGCATTTTCATCTCAAAGGCCTATTTTATGAAGGAATTATGCACAATTTTACAGTAGTCAATTTGTCTCAAACTGGTTTCTTTAACAATGTAACCACTATACCAGGGGTCGGCAATCCACGGCTCAGGAGCCGCAGCGGCTCTTTAGCGTCCCCCTTGCGGCTCCCTGGAGCTGTCTCAAAAATGTATGAAAAAGTTTTTGTTTAGTTTTTTTTTTGTCTGTTTTACCTTGGTTTGCAGGCGGTTAAAGAAAAAAGGTTTTCCAATGTTGTAAACATTTGTATAACAAATAAATTTAACAATAAATTGCGTCATAGCCATAGAGATCAGTGGTCATAACTTGCAACCAGTGTGGCGCGGTGCCAGGCAAACAAAGCTGCAGGTGTGTCTCGGACCATGGATCCCATAGGGAAAAAAGGGAGATAGCTGATGAGAAAAGAGGAATCAAAGAATGGAGCGACTCATTTGCTTTCATTATCAATGCGGAAGGATTGCCCGCATTTTTGCTTTGCAATGAGATGTTGTCAAAACAGGAAAAAGAAAAATTTGGAAAGGCATTTCCAGGGAAAGCTAAATATGCAGCCGACCACCAAGTTGAGAGTGAGACGAAAAGTGCGATTGCAGAACTTCTGGATGAATTAGAGTAGCGCAAAGATAGATTTAAGAAGTGGATTCCATCTCCAAACTCCACTACTGCTGCTAGTTTGGTCGCAATGATGGAAAACCGTCCACAGATCGAACAGGTAGCGCTCTGCTACAGGTATGTGAACTTTCTTCCATTTTTTCCCCAAATCCAAAAAATATAAATCACACCAAGGAACGATGGTGACGGAGGATGTGGGACTTCAGGGTTAGAGAGCTCTGCTCTGATGGATGTCAGTTCCTGCTTGGTTCCCCATGACTCAATCAATTCCTCCTAACAGAAACACATCCACCATAAAAAGATTCCTTTATGTTTTTCTATAATTTCATCAATGCAAGAAAAACCTAAACCGCGTGGTGAAGGGTGATGAAGCAGCCCGTGGTGAGAGCGTTCACTGCTCCTCCATCACTCATGCTACTATGTGACATTTGCTCCAGGATAAACATGTAACCATAAATGCTTATTATATATTTAAGCCCACATAGTCCTTTTCTATAGTGGTCTAATACACTTAGAGCCCATGTTGCCATACGAGGCATATATAAGATGCTGATGAAGGTTCTCAGTCATCCAGGTCATAGTCAACGTCTTCAAATCTTGGAAACCAAGTCCAGTGGATATTTTTTTAATTTTTACGGAATGGCATATAAAAGACTTTTAGATGTTTGCGGCTCCAGACAGATTTTTTATTTATTTTGGTCCAATATGGCTCTTTAAGCAGTTTGGGTTGCCAACCCCTGCACTATACCCTAGTTGCCTCTACAGATCACAGTCAAATACACCACCTGTAATATGTGGAGAAATTGAAGATTCTATTGATGTACATGTATTACAGATCCAAGGAGGTAGCCTACTGCTAACATATAGTGGCCACTGGTTAAAGATGTACAGGTCACTGGCCAAACTACACCTCTAAGCAGTCTAGGAAGGCGGTGAGGGTAATTTAAAGCTAGAATAAAGTCTCAGTGACCTTTTTAATTGTTATACATCATCAGCCTTCATAAACACAATGTATTGTGTGTTTGGCATACCACTTAAAGCTTAATTAGAAGCCCCTTCGCTTAAAAGAAAAAAAAAAGCTATTTGCACAACATCCGTGTGGGTTCCTTTAAATCGTCACCACTTGTATTTTTTTGAGAGCGCAGGAGGGAAATACGGAGCCAAACGCTCGCCTTTAACATCAGCAGCAACACGCGGACAGACTGACCAGCTCCCCTCAACCACTAGAAGCACAGCTGCTGCGTGGATGCGTGGAAGACACCCCCACCGCTCTGGGTGGAAGGGAATGAAGTTTTCCAAGAGACGAGCCTGGATCCAGCTGTGAGAAGATGCGTTTCCCCCTCACACAAGTTGCTCTTTGGATTTGCTGATTTTTATTATTTTTTTTATGTTTTATTAATTTATTTTTCCAAGTTATTCAGCGGGGACAGGGAGGATGCTCCCACAAGTCATTCGGATTCTTTATGTCTTGTCTTTTTGCGTCTTCCAAGGAGGCTTCATCAGGTAAGAAGATTCCACATTTTTAAATCGGATATTCCAATTATTTGCAAAGACTTGACATAAACTTTTACGACAATAGACTTAACTCGACTTCACCAGCATAAATATAATTGATCACAGACTATAGATTCGAAATATGTTTTTCTTTATTATTTGTATTTCATCAACTGGAGCCTTCCAGCGCGCAGCTTTTTCCAACCCAGCTTTTTACGCACCTCAAAGCCTCCCCTTAAAACCCGAATAAACACATTTCCTAAAGAACTCTACCTTATGATTAATGAAAATAAACATCATCCCCGAATAATGGATATGACTTAGTTAGATAAACACTATGAGCATGTTGGTAGAATTAATGGAGAGATGTTGGGAATGTGGTAAATCATTATCAGCATGCCCACTGGAAATGTGCATGTTGGTTATCATGTTTTCTCATCTTAAAATGAAAAACTACACAAAAAAAAGTGGTAATTAAATTTTTTTGGATGAAAACATTTATATTATCTTGATCAGAGAAAAAAAATCTTTAAATATAAATATAGACAAAAAGGGAGAAGCAGAAACTTAACTTAGGATTAAGTGTTTTCCCTTATTTTGGCTGTAACATAAAATCAAAACAGAACTAAACATTATTCGTTCTACAATAACTAAGTATATGACAATTTTTTTTCCATAGTCCTTAAACAAGCATTGGACATCAACTGGTCCATGGCTCTATGGAGTGCATGGTTATTTGTCCCATGTGTCCTGTGATGGACTGGTAACCTGGCCAGGGTGTACCCTGCCTATTGCTCAATGACTGCTGTAAATAGTTACAAGACTTCCATAGCTCTTTAAGTCAAGACGTTTTAGATAATAGAGTGGAGCACTTCTTTATATACTATTTAAAAATTTTTTTTATCCATATCTGCATTTTTTTTTCTTACTACTTTAAACATAACAATAAAGCAATCCAAATATACATTTCTTTTCTGCATTTGACCACAACAATCAAAAAAATATAGTATGTTAAATTTATAATAAAATAGTATTTAGTTTTTATTCCTGGTGTTTAATGAGAACATCCAGTTACCAAAAGAATGTATGGAGCCTAAACACTGGGGTAAATCGATGGTATTGCAGGACATAGTAATGCTGTTGTGCAGGAACTGAATATGAATGAAGTCTAAATGCCGTCATCTTCTGCTTTATCTGGAGCCGTGTCGTGGGGGCAGCAGTTTTTGCAGAGATTCCCAACCTTCCCTCCCCCTGAGACACCTCCAGCTCCACTGGGGGAAGCCCTAGGTGCTCCCAGGCCAGTTGAGAAATATTTCCTCCAGTCTGTCCCGGGTCGTCCCCTGGGCCTCCTCACCAGTGGGATGTGCCTGGAACACCTCCTGAGTGAGGCGTCCTGGGGACTTTGAACAGAGCTGTTCGAGTCAGCTCAGCTGACTCCTCTGGATGTGAAGGAGAACTGGCTCTACTATGAACCTCTCCCAGATTACTGAGTTCCTCACCACATCTCTTGCGGAGAGCCCAGCCATCCTGCAGAGAAAACTCATTTCAGCGTCTTGTATCCAGGATCTCGTTCTTTTGCTCATAATCCAGATTTCATGACCATAGGTGAAGGTAGGAGTGTAGAACGACTGGAAAACCGAGAGCTTATAAGGCACGTGTTCATTTTTATTTTATACAGGTATAGCTAAATTATTGATTATGTTTAAATAGTTGATCCAATTCATTAATTAAATTCCAAAATTCTATTTCTGTGTATGATTATAGCTGACATGTACAGTATATAGCTTACAGTATATATATATATATATATATATATATATATATACACTCACCGGCCACTTTATTAGGTACACCTGTCCAACTGCTCGTTAACACTTAATTTCTAAGCAGCCAATCACATGGCGGCAACTCAGTGCATTTAGGCATGTAGACATGGTCAAGACAATCTCCTGCAGTTCAAACCGAGCATCAGTATGGGGAAGAAAGGTGATTTGAGTGACTTTGAACGTGACATGATTGTTGGTGCCTGAAGGGCTGGTCTTAGTATTTCAGAAACTGCTGATCTACTGGGATTTTCACGCACAACCATCTCTAGGGTTTACAGAGAATGGTCCGAAAAAGAAAAAACATCCAGTGAGCGGCAGTTCTGTGTGCGGAAATGCCTTGTTGATGCCAGAGGTCAGAGGAGAAAGGCCAGACTGGTTTGAGCTGATAGAAGGGCAACAGTGACTCAAATAACCACCCGTTACAACCAAGGTGGGCAGAAGAGCATCTCTGAACGCACAGTACGTCGAACTTTGAGGCAGATGGGCTTCAGCAGCAGAAGACCACACCGGGTGCTACTCCTTTCCGCTAAGAACAGGAAACTGAGGCTACAATTTGCACAAGCTCATCGAAATTGGACAATAAAAGATTGGAAAAACGTTGCCTGGTCTGATGAGTCTCGATTTCTGCTGCGACATTCGGATGGTAGGGTCAGAATTTGGCGTCTACAACATGAAAGCATGGATCCATCCTGCCTTGTATCAACGGTTCAGGCTGGTGGTGTCATGGTGTGGGGAATATTTTCTTGGCACTCTTTGGGCCCCTTGGTACTAATTGAGCATCGTTGCAATGCCACAGCCTACCTGAGTATTGTTGCTGACCATGTCCATCCCTTTATGACCACAATGTACCCAACTTCTGATGGCTACTTTCAGCAGGATAATGCGCCATGTCATAAAGCTGGAATCCTCTCAGACTGGTTTCTTAAACATGACAATGAGTTCAATGTACTCAAATGGCCTCCACAGTCACCAGATCTCAATCCAATGGAGCATCTTTGGGATGTGGTGGAACGGGAGATTCGCATCATGGATGTGCAGCCGACAAATCTGCGGCAACTGTGTGATGCCATCATGTCAATATGGACCAAACTACCTGAGGAATGCTTCCAGCACCTTGTTGAATCTATGCCACCAAGAATTGAGGCAGTTCTGAAGGCAAAAGGGGGTCCAACCCGTTACTAGCATGGGGTACCTAATAAAGTGGCCGGTGAGTGTATATATATATATATATATATATATATATATATATATATATATATATATATATATATATATATATATATATATATACATATATATATATATATATATATATATATATATTTAGATAGATAGATGTTTCCAAAGCGGAAATCTGTATATATCTTACAGTACACCAATTGCTCAAATTAATGCAGAAAGATCTAAGCTATAATCCTTTGGTTCCATAATTCCAGCTGCTTGATCGGAAAGCACACATGGCTATGAACTCAGCTGACAGACTAAAAGACTTAGCAACAACTGAGGGGGCCTTTATGATGTGTTTCAGATGCAGGACCTGAAATGAGTTATTGATAGACCCCATTAGAGAGTTAAGCCACAAAAGCTTAAAATTAAAGAAGATTTCCTTTTACATTTCTACAGAGTGCTATATCCAGGCACATTAATGGAACGCTGAGTTGGATGAAAAAAATGTAGTTAAAAACAGCATGCTAATAGGAGTAATAATTGCAGCATAGTTTATGGGGTGATTTGCAATGTACAGAGTACAGCTGGAGATAGGACTTCAGGACTGTATAAAGAGTAATATCTTCTTTAAGTCTAGTTCTGGTCTTTGTGTTACCATACTGCTCCATTAACATAAAGAGTAATACTTTTTTGCAGACAAACTCAGCCGAACTTATACTTGTTTCCATCAGCCGAAGCACATAACCCTAAAGATAAGAAGTTGAGCGTTTTCCATTTACATTTTTTTTTTTATGCGCATAACTTAATATGCCAGTCTGGTGATAAATTTATTTAATTTCTCATCTTTTCTTCTATTTCAAAAGGGGCCCTTTACAGTTGCAAACATTGCTTATAGCTCTGGGAAGCTCCTGCAGGCAATAAGGGACATCCCCAGAGGTTTCAGAAGAAGAAAATCACATCTTATTATTGTCCTGTTACTTATTAATTTCCATTTGTCTTCATCTATTCTACTTTCCTGATTTTTAAACTTTCTTAGCTTCTTTCTTTTTCTCACTTAGTGCCAAAAAACTTTTTGTTCAGAGTGAACACTTTCCTTATTTCATGCCCTGCCACCCTCAGGTGTGAACGGAAGGGAATTGAGATCTGCATAATCCCGGAGCGGAACAGAGCTGTGACTCTGTGAACCCAGGGGCAAAGAGAGCAGCTCTCAGCCCGCAGAAGCAGTCAACTGACAGCACCTCCTATGAGGAATGATATGCTCTCCTGCTGGCCTTTTTGCTCACTACATGAGGGAGGAGGGAGCGATATGCAGGCATGGAGCAAAAAGGGAGAGATTAAGGAAGGAGGGCAGCCGTAAAAGACAGAAAAAAAGGAGACAGAGGTGGGGAACGGGAAATTATGAGAATGAACCGTGCTGAAATGTGGGTGAAAAAGAAACAGAGGTTGGTAGACTTGGCTGCAGGCAGCCGTTAGACCAAGGCTGGCAGATGGACAAAAATGGCATTACTATGTTGGAAAGAGCGGAGATTGTAAGAAACTCCAGGTGTACGTAGGAATACAAAATAAAACACTTCATTTTTATGGATTTCACAAATAAGAACAGTTCCTGGATGGCTGTTAACAGACGGAAATGGGGGATTAATAATTTACTAATTATTACAGTGGTATGGCTAAGATGGTTGGAGATATAGATTGCATTAAGCAATCTGTGTGTGCGTCAAAAGGAAGTGTTGTGCCGTGCAATTCATGTTAGTTTACAGTATATTGTCTGTCAAATGAAAAGGAAAACCTGACTAATTTGTTTGAAATAAGTCACAGCTTTACCAATAAAAAAGCAGAACTAAGAAACTTTAAGAATATCACATTAATGTTGGCTTATAATAATTTCAATGCAGTAGTTTAACTTGTGTTAAACTAGCTGTGATTTCATCTGGTATCCAAATGGTTCTTGCCTGATACTGAACAACTGATCTTCACCTATGTCAACATGTACAAATATTCTATTTTTTCATCTGC